CTTCGGACAATCCGGGGAAAAGTATTATGTCAGTAAGTATTCTTTTAACATCCTTACTTAAACTCTTTGCTGTCTGTACACAAATGACAACTGAGATGTTAAAGTGTCTGAGCTTCTTAAGAATTCGACACATATCTTGTTCTCTATTCTTTAACAAAGGATGAGAAGCGAAATCATCTAAGATAAGAAGACACCTATGAGGGTATGTCTTCCAATCGTAAGATTGCAATTTCTTCGAAATGTATTCTATCTCTTTCTGTTTGTTTCTGAAGTGTTTCTTCTCTAATATTCTCTGCATTTCCTCATTTGGGTCTTTAAACTTAGAATTTATATACTCATTTATAGCATTATACTTCAAAACTCTTCTTTGGTACTTCTTTATCCAATCTAACAACTCAGTATCCTTTATACATACTAACTTAGACTTCTTTATAATATCTTTGAACGAATTGACGGTTTGGTCAAATTGACCAGAAGTACTACAAATAACAACCAACTCATAGAATGGGTTCTTCTCATCTAGTTCTTGTTGCTGTGCAGCCATTTTAAGATAAGTGAAAGTCTTACCCGACCCAGGTGGTGCAATTAGACCTGTTATACCATTCTGAGCAAATAAGAACTTGTCATGTATAGGCTTTATCTGAGCATTTTCTAACTTCCTCTTGTTCTTGTTTAAAACATTCTCAAATTTCTTGTCAATGTCAGCAAACTTTTTTTCTAACATATTTTTAGAAAAATTAAAATTTTTATCTTTTAGAAAATGTCTAGCGATTTCACTATCTATATTCGAGACAAGCTTTTCGACAGCAAAACATCTGTCGACCATAAAATCTTACATAGTGTAAACAAGAAAGGTGAATTTGTTCTAAAGTTCTGTTTCTGGGAATATGACAAGAACCATAAAACATTAAGCAGAGCAGTCTTAAAATTTGTCAATGACAGACTTGTTGACAGAGATGACACCGATTGGAAAGATGAAGTCCAACAAAAGTTCTTAGAATGCAAAGAAGACACATGCGCTGTTCTTGAAGATGAAATAGAAAACAGAATAGAAGAGCTATTAAAGGACAAAGAACTTTTACATAAATATGGTTGCGCCAAATTTGACATAACTCCACCAGAAAAGAAGAAGAAAGAAAAGAAAGAAAAGAAAGTAGAAGAAGAGAAGAAAGAACCTGAGCCAGTTCCAGAGAAAAAGAAATTTGACATGTAAAAATAAAATTTTATTTTTAGAACATTTCTGGGTCAATGTCAATGTTCTCTTCCTCTTTAGGAGTAAACACTGGCTTAGACTCTAAAATCTTTTTACCCAATTTACCTTGAACTTCAACTATCTTAGACTCATAATATTCATAGTCGTCTGCTTTCTTTGGTTCATAAGGTATAACAAGTTTGTATGCTTTGCCTTCTTTAAGGTTTGAGAACCTTCTGTCAAAACTTTCTTTGACTGTTAACAAACCTTCTATGTCTAAGTCTTCAAATTTCGCACCATTTTTAGTCACAATAGCAAACTTAACTGGTTCGATGTTCCAAACTTTGCTGAATGAAGACTTTTCAAAATGGTAGAAGTAAACATTCAAATATGTGAATGGGTCTAGTTCTTCTTTAAGTCCTGACATGTACTTGTTTACTGAGATGAATTTTGCCATCTTTTCTATCGGATAAAAAAATATTTTTTTTAAAATTTACTCAGAAAAATTTTTCTTTGTATATACACCATTCTGTACGTCTAAAAGACTTTTGACATTTGCCAAGAATGTACGTTTAGAAGCTGTCATATAACCATATTCTTGACAATATTGTTTATACGAATCGTACAATGACCTTTCATCTAATGACACAAAGTCAGTTTCATCTATGAACAGTTCATATACACTCTTGTTTGCTTCTAACAATGTTTGTCTCTCTTCGGTATGTGGAATTTGTCTTGGATTGAACTTTGAAATATCTAATGTCATGAAATATGAGAACAAGTGGTTGTAAAAGTCAGATGTCAAACATTCTGACAAAGCGTCAAAATATTCTGTATCTTGCATATGAGAATCTGACGTTCTGACAACTACATATCTTCTGTCAGAACTTTCTAACTTCATCGGAACAGCATTGTTTGAAACCATAATGAAGTTTGCAACATTTTCACAAACTCTTTGGTCTTTATATTTTCTTTCAACAACTCCAACTTTGTCTGTTATAAGACTCTTCAAAGCATCTGAGTTCAAAACTTTTGTTGTATCTATACTTTGAAGTTCATTGCAAACTATAAGTTTCATATTCTCAATTGAAGAGTTAAATTTACCACAGATGTTTTCTAAGTTTGTCATATTAGGGTTCGAATAACCTTCTAACAGTTTGCACAAAATATCTGTAAAGAAAGTATTCTTACCAGTTCCTTGTTTTCCAATTATAATGAGAGCAGTTTCATTTTTAGCACTTGGATGTTGTAAGATGTTTGCAAACCAACATAAGATATACTCATAAACCTTTTCGTTTCCATTGCATATAATTTCTTTGACATGGTCTAACCAAGCTTCTATAATATTTTCTTTCCATTCTACTTGTTCATATTTATATCCAGTGAAGATAGAATAGAAGTTTGGAGAAGGTGTATAGAACTTTATACCTCGAACTGAAAAATCTTCTAACTTTGACAATAAGATATCCCAAGCATCTAACATCTTCATGCCAACTTGTACAACTTTTATTTTCTTAAGTTTCTGTCTACATTCTTGTTCAGACACTATTGTTGCTCTTGGTTTGTTAAAGACAACATCCCATTCTTTCATGACATAACATTCTGGGGCAGAGTCGACATAAATGACTAAACGTTTCAAATTCTCGACTGCTTTGTTATAGTCTCTAAATGGACACATATTTCTGAAGGCTTGGAAGTCATAAAAATCTGAAACATCTATTCTGTACATTTTTATAAAAATAAAAAAATATTATTTTTTTATTCTTGACTTTGTTGTTCCATTTGTTGCATTTGTTGTTCTTGAGCTATTTGTTGTTGAAGTTGTTCTTGTAATACAATACTTTCACCAGTTGCATCTTCCAATTCGAAACTTTCTGCCGTCATTGACAAATACATAGGACATAAAAGTTTTACAGGAACAAAGTTTGCGTCAACTAATGTCAACGTTATACTTGCCAAAGTGTTTGAGTTCACTAAGGTTGAAAATTCTGCATTCGAATGAACAATAGGCAAACCAGCAGAGAAAGTATTGTTTATACGCATAAGTATCTTTTGGTCATAATAGTTTCTGTCGACATTCGAATAACACTTTGAACCTAAGTTTGAAACAATATATAAGATTGGTGTGCTTAATGTCAATGGAATAGACATTCCTTGTATGACACCTTTTCCTGTTATAGGAAACTGTTGGTAGTAAAAACCAGAAATAAGTTTTGTATTATAGCTCATATCGTTTATAGTAAACTCAGTCGGACATCCAAACATAATGAAACCTGCTCTAGTTGCAGCACATGTTACACCCGTACTTAAAGTATTAAATAAGTCAACAAAACCTGTTGGTGGTATATCTGAGTAAGTATCTTCAAAGGAGTATTTTTTACCATTCACAACAATAAAGTCTTCTGGTGTCAAAGAGCAAAACAGGCTTTAGTCGTCATTGTGTTTAAGGTTAGTTTACAAATCGTCCTTGAGGACTTTGTAAGTTTGTTGTTATAGAATTATATGACTCAGGGTTTTTAGTCGTAATAGTATAAACCATTATGTCTTCTGCCATTTACTTAGCAAATAAAACTTTAATGAAATGTTGTGGTCGTCAAATATTTTATGACGTCTGGAAACTATACTTTAAGTTCAACGTTTCACCTCCTTTCATAACGTATATCTTGTCAATGACATTATATGAAACACCACAGCAACTAATGTCGGTTCTATTTCTTTGATGTTTATATCGTCTGCCTCTGTCAAAAGTTTCAATAGTTCTTTCAAGACTTCATGAGGTGCAATGACATATAGTTCACTTTTACAGGGTTGTTTCGACCAAGTTTAACATTATACTTAAAGCTTGACAAATCTTCTCCTGAGTTGAAGTTTGTCTTTCAGTTGTTGGTAGTCGTTTCGAATATCTGCAACAGAACTTAAGTCTCTGTTAACTTCAGGATATGTTGGTTCTTTTACAGGAACAATTGTTATACCATCTTCGTCTTCGTATGGTTTCCCCACTTCAACATCTCTGTCTTTGACATTGACAATAACACTTTGACTGTTTGTTTGAGTTGGTGAATTTAACTTCACATCTGCCACCGCCATTAAACCTTTTGAAACACTTACGCTTCTATTTTTCGGAAATGACATTTTACTTAGAATAAAAAGATGGACGTATTTGAGTATCTCTTTGAATTGAAGCAAAACAAAGTTTACACACACAAACAATACAAATACATTGACAGAATAGTTCTTTATACAAACAATGGTAAATGTTATAGAATATCAATATTTGCTGAACCAAAAATTTTCATATAAAGCAAAGAAAGTTGGTATAACCGAGATGGTGAAAGTTCTTGAAGCAGACAAAAATATAACTTCAAAACTGACCGATATTACTAAAGGAAAGTTTATAATACAATATTATGTCAAAACTGGCGTACTGTCATATTGACGGAGAAAGTCAGTTCAAGAACAACTTACTGACCTGCTGCCAAAAATCTGCTCGATGGAAGCTGTCGTTATGCCAATCTGAGGAGCTCCAGCAGGTTTCATCGAACGAATCTTCAAAAGAGCATCTTCCGTGAAAAGTGCTATTGGTTTTGTAAACTTCTTTGCTTTCAATTCATCTGGACCGTCTCTGTCACCAGTATATTGTATTTGAACTGTACCAACAGTTGAAATACCACCCATAAAGTCTTTCTGAGTCAGCAAATGGAATGCCAAGCCAAAAGTTTGAACGGTCTCCATTTGTATATTGAGTTTTTGACCTCCTGTATGAGTCCATACTTTCACATATGGCATAATAGAACTTTGCATTTCAGGGTTAATGGTTGTTGTGAAGTTGTTGTTAAAGTTCATAGCATCTAATGTCAAGTTGTATGACCTCATATCCTCAACTGTAGAATATTCTTCTCTTGGATAATATTTGCCATCTATGTTTATATGATATTTAATACCAGGGTTGTAGAAACAAGAATAGTCATTTATAGTTCGTCTGAACAGTACAAACATAGTATCTGCATGTTTCATTGCAGTTGTTAAAGCAATATCTGTTCTTGCACCTGGGTCAGCACTTTGGTTTCCAACTTCACCTGCAAAGTCTTTGACAGATATTTGGTGTATAGGGAACATAAGTGGAACTGCAATATATTTGGCAGCTAAAGCATTTGAAATATCTGGGTCCAACATATAAACGGCAAGTCTGCTTTCTATTCTCTTGCATTCAAACTTTTCGCATGTGAACTTAACTGGGTCCCAAGCAGTTCCAGCAGCATTGAAATAATAGTTTACTTCAGTGTTGAAGTTTGAGAAACCAAAGTCTAAGTCAACTTTGTCTTTGCAAAAGTCACAGAACTTGGCTCCACCAGTTCCAGCTACAGTAATAGTGAATGGGTCTTGTGTTGGTGCAATGACTAAGTTATTTTTGCTTGGAGTAAGTTCAATAGAAATTTTTCCTGCCCAGTTTGGCAAGTATCTTAAAAACCTGAAGATGAGGAAAGATGACAAAGGAACTCTAAGTTTCAGTTTTACTTTAGTGGCAGCATTTCCATCTGAACCAGAAAGGTTAACATAAACTCCTGGAACGTTAGGGTCAAGTCTTCTTATTTTCTCAATAGTTGCATACTGGTCTGTTTGTTCTCTAGCTTGTGGTTGTACTGAGTTTCTCAAAGCGAACCATTCATAGTTTGCCCATGTTACTGTTTGAACTAAGTCAGAGTTAGAATATATCTTATATCCCATGAAAACTTCTGGAGCATATTGGTATCCGACATAGAAAATTCCATTGCAACCTTTCTTGTCAGACAACTTGGCAGAAGGTTTTATTTCAATGTCTTGTTCCACGTATAAGAATGAGTTGTCAATAGAAATAATATGAAACCTGTCGCAAGCAATATCTACTGTTGTTGAAGAACCTTCTCCAAACTCACCTACGTTTCCATAAGAAACAGCAGTTGTATATTCGTAAGTTCCAGGAACTATTTCTGACCTTCTAATGGCATTGTCGCATTCGTTATACCATTCGGAAACATTTCCGTTCATGGCATCCAAAACTGTTGGCGTTATATTCTGAGCGGCGTACATTTCATATGGGTAAAAATATAGAATAGTTGGATTTATGTGTCATAATAGAACCCACTCGGACCAAGCTTTACTTTCTTCCTGACTGAGTTTTTAACTCTTCTTTTTCCTTCATTGCCACTACTTTCACTAGATGAAGTTACTTCTTCACTACTTTCACTTTGTTCTACTCTTCTCTTCTTCTTTGGTGTCGCTTTCGGTAACTTGCCCTCTGCTTCAAGTTGTTGCATCTTTGCCTCATGTTCACCTAGTATGTTGTAAATTTCCCATGTCCTTTTTGCCTTTGGGCTCTGGTCGCCCATCTCAGGTAACCTATATCCTAGAAAGATTTTGTCATAGTTTGTATTTGAGTCTTCGCGTATTGTTTGCATGACTCTTTCCTGAGTTTCCGGTTCAAGCTCTTCAAACAGAGCTTGTCCATATGGAATAAGCTCGTTTCCAAATATATGTTTTTGTAGCCATTCTGGTTTTCTTTCCATGTTACCAATAATATCTTTTGTGAATGGGAAAGCTTTTACCCAATGTTTCAGTCTTGCGTCATTTATTTCTGTAGTTGGTTTTATTTTGTCAAGGAACATGTTTTTCAATACTAACATTTCATTTGGTACTGTCCATTTGAGTTTTCTTAAATATTCATCCCTTCTCGGTTCATTGTCTGCAAAGTAAGTTTTTATGACATTTTGCAAACTTTCGTTTGCAAGGTCATGTACAATAGGTTCTCTTCCTTCTCTCTCCCTAACTTTCTTTCTAAACTCTTCACCAAATATACCATCTCTATGGTTCTGTGTAGTTCTTTGAGATAAATGTTCTAGAACGTCAGGTGTTATATTTCCATCAGCCATGTTCATTTCATACTGGTCCAAAATATCTGCATCTTTCATATCTTTCAATGGCATTAAAGCCGCGCTGAAAATACCAGCTATATCTGGTTCACCATTCACTTCCATTGCGTCTACAACTTCTTGGAATTGAGGTTGTAAGTTTATGAACCACCTATCCGGATTAGCTTTATGACCCCATCTCATTGTAGTTCCATAGTCTGCAGAAACAAAAGTAGGTTTGTTTCCATATTGGTTAGGTTCTGAATGAACTTTAAACAATGTTTCATTTCTATATGTTTTGTTGAAATTTAACCTTTTATTTTCACCGAGTTCAGCCAAAGATTGAACGTTATATGGTCGTAAGTAAAAAGGATTGTTGTATTTGCGTACATTTTCTTTCAGTACTTCCATTCTATGCTGAATATTTTCATCTGATGTTGGAGTCTTTTGTATGTCGGCGAACATTTTTCGATATTCTTCTACTATGTCAGCCGAATTTTTCTTAGACTCTTGGAAAGATTCCATATTCACCTCATAGTCTTGTTGAGGGTCAAGATTTTTCGGCTGTTCCAAATCTTCATCTAGTTCTGTGAAGTTAGTTTCCAAAGGAGGGACTTGTTCGTTTCCTTCAGGCTCTTCTAGCTGTTGTTGCTGAACTATTTCTTCCATGTCTGGTTGTATCTGAACTTCTTCCTGTGGAGTTTCTTGTACCTCATCTGCTGGCATTTCATATATTCCGAGACCGTTTTTAACAAGTTCCCTATCTAAGTCATCCGGACTCATAAACCTTTCTTCTTTCGTTCCGTCTCTATTTTTTACGCGTTTCATGAAGAGAGTTGAATTATCATTTAGCTCTGACACCAAATATCTCGGAGTAAATTCATCCATGTCATTTGGATGATATGCTATTAAATCATATCCCTTAGCGAGCTTGTATTTTCCAGGTTTGAGATTATATCCCATTTGGTGCTGAACCATAAAGCTAAATAGGTTCGGGTCAGTATTTCCTTCCTTGAACTTTTTAATAGCTTCTTTATATCTGTCACTAAAGTCAAGAGTATCTGGGTAACCATAATCTTCCTTAAGCATTTTTAAGAATTCTTGGTTTCCTTGTTCTCTACTTCTTTTATGTCCTTGCTCTGTTTGTGGTTGTTGTTGTGCAGGGTTTTGAACTGTTGGTTGTTGTGTAGTGTTTTGAACTGTTGGTTGTGGTGCTGGATTTTGAACTGTTGGTTGTTTGTGTAGTGTTTTGAACTGTTGGTTGTGGTGCTGGATTTTGAACTGTTGGTTGTTGTTGTTGTTTTGGTGCATGCCTGTGTCTGTGTCCATGTGACGATGTAAATGTTTTAGGTAGTCCTGGTGCAAGTGCTTCTCTTGGAGGGTTTGGTGGTATATAAGTTCCACCAGCTGGCACATATGTTCCATCTGCAGCATAATGTCCTACCTGACTTTTCGTTCTTAAGAAAGCATTTACTAGGTCTGTTTTGGTCTGTTGTAACTCTTTTTCTTGACTTTCCACAACAGTTGCTCTAACGGCGTCATAGGCACTTTGAACTGCCTGTCTCGTTGCTGCATCTGTTATTTTCGTCATATTTTGTGCTACTTCTCTTAACTCTTTGTCGAAACCTTCAGACTTCAGTTTCTTTCCAGATGAGAAATCGTTCACTTGTTTCACCTTACTATGAAGAGCTTCGAAGGCATTCTTAAAGTCAGCATTCATTAAAGCTTCATTTGAACTGTCTTCATCCGCTTGTATTTTTGTCCTTATTGACCCTATAAGTTGGGCTGCTTTAGCGTTGGCTTGGGCATCTAACCAGTCATTATTAGCTTTTATATATTCTGCGCTTTTCATTGCCTTTTGCATGGCTGCGTTGTTATTTTTACTTTCTTGTGCTAAGTTTTCATACTGTACGGTTTGGTTTTGCAACTGTAAAAGTTTTTCTGCCTTTACATTTGCTTCAACTTCTTTTTTATACTCATCGCTATCCATATATGTCTTCAGGGCTTTTTGTTTTATCTCTTCATCTTTCAGTACTTTATATTGAGTAGTATGGTTTTTCAAATTTATAACATCTTGTTCCATTTTTGCTACTTCTGCTGCTTTTTCTGACACTTTTTTCGCATATTCCTCTGTACTTAGTTCTTTCAGTTGTTCTTCTTTCTTCTTTTTCTCTACGTTTAACTCATTGAGTTTCTTTGTGTGTCTGTCATATTCTAGTTTCTTTTCGTTTTCACTTATTTGTTTCTGTATGTCTATGTTTGACTTTTTGACATCTGTTATTTGATTTTTGAGTGAACTCAAATTCATTTGACTTTGAGGGTTATAAGCTGTTCCGTCTGCAGCTCCACCATAGCCTGCCATTTTCGCTAAAAGTGCCGCTCTTAAACCTCCACTCTGTGCACCAATAACTCGGTTTAAAAGCATAGGGTTGCTTGACATTTGTTGCAACATAGTGGGGTCATTCATCATTTGTTGTTGCAACTGTTGTTGTGGTGTCAGTTTTACTATTGGATGTTTCAATGCTCTCTTCCTCTTACGTATATTCTTACGTAGCTTACGTGGCATTTTAAGTGAAGTTAAAAAGCGGTTTTTGACAGATGTTTATATGACACTTTTTGTTCAGCACAAAAACTACTCGGTCAAAGTGTTGTCAGTTTTGTAAAATAACCGTCCTATCTCATTCTATAAGGGAGAAAAGGCTTCTCAAAGTATACTTCCTTGGAACGCCTGTAACTTTTCCTGTAGCGACGATAGACCTTTACTTGTCCGGACAAAGTTATACTATTTTGAGTGCTCTACAAAAAAGTCAACGGCTGGTCGGCTGGGGTTCGGTCCTCCTCTTGGGTCTTGGGAAAAATTTCTTATGGGCTAGAGGGCGCAACGCGCCTGGAAGCCCTCCGAATATAAACTTCATTTATACTAAACATCTTCAGGGCTAGAGGGCGCAACGCGCCTGGAAGCCCCACTACCTTTTTTTTTTTTATGAAGAAGTAAATAAGGAAAACGGCAGTATTTTGCTAGATTTTAATCTAAAAAATCATCCTTGGAATTGAAGAATGTAAAAACTGATTAAAATCTATTAACTTTCATTTAAAACTTGAGAGAGATTTTAGACCAGATAACCCTCTCAAATTTTTGTGTTGTTTACAATAAAAGTTAGATCCCTTAAGCTCAAGCTTTTTCCCCGATTGAATATTGAAATTTCGGAATTTTTGAATATTCATTAGGCCTATCTACTGATATGAGTATTTAAAAAAAATGGCTATATTTTTATTCAAATTCATGAATTTTGATCTAATAGAATTAAAATATAGATAAAAATGTAATGTGGATATGAATATATACTATCATTGTTTCGGGAGCATTTGTATAATTTGCAGTTGGAATTTCCTAAAATAATTTGATATGTCGAAGGAAATGAAGAAAAAGTCATTCCTGGATAGTTATCATTTGAGATACAACGAGTTAATATGGGTGATATATCTCCCGAAAGACCTTTTCCAGAAATATTTATAAATATACAGTCTTCAAATATTGGCACTTTTTCGCTGATCCATAATATTGCACTTTGGTTACTAGCACCAATAAAATTACAGAAAGATGTTGTAAAAGTGGAACCAATAATTTCAATGAATCGATCATCAAAACATTTGTAAACTTATGAAAACTTGGCAAATGTTCCATCAAAAGTATACCAAAAGCTAAAGAGTCCTCCACCACCAACTCCATGATTGTTAGTTCCATTGTTTTCATAAGAAATAAATTTATTACGATACATATAAATGCAACTGTCACTTTTTCGTTGGGAATCCGGACCGCACAAATAAAAGGAAGATTCA